TTTCCTTCTCCTAGATAGGCTGCCTTCCAAGGCTGATGAGCCCCATCCACCCGGCCTGTTCTCTAATAGTGCGGAAGTATGATCTGACCCTTAAAGGTTTCCTACCACCAGGTGTATACAATGCTAATTGGCTTTCCTATTTACCAAATTAGGGTCAAAAATAGAATTAGAGAATTTTGCGTGCCACTAGGCACGCGCTTCTGCTCACCCTCATTTAAATCTGAAAACCCCGCCCCCTTCAGACCATGCAGTCAGGGAAAACAAAGGTCAGACTAGAAGAAACACCTCATCAAAATGTCTACCCAAGCATACCTGCCTTCCTGCCTCAGCTTCTTCTTCAAGAAAAAAAAACTGTAAAGAAGAGTGATCTGTACAGTCTCATACAGATCACTCTTCTGTAGGTTTGGATATATAATTTGCTTTGGTCCAAAGCTTTGCTCAGAGACACATCTGCAGTTTACTACAATAGGACCTCCATATCCACAGGACCAGTATCCAGTTTCACTTATCCACAGTTTGAATATATTAAAAGTATTAAAAGAAAAAGATCCAGAAAAATCTATTTTGCATGTATTACCATGACAGACCACTAGATGGAGTCAGAGACCATGCTAGGAATTCTTGTTTGTGAAGACTACATAGGGACGTGGTGGCGCTGTGGGCTAAACCGCAGAAGCCTGTGCTGCAGGGTCAGAAGATCCGGCAGTCGTAAGATCGAATCCACGCAATGGAATGAGCACCCGTCGCTTGTCCCAGCTCCCGCCAACCTAGCGGTTCGAAAGCATGCAAATGCGAGTAGATAAATAGGGACCACCTCGGTGGGAAGGTAAACAGTGTTCCGTGTCTAAATCACACTGGCCATGTGACCACGGAAAGATTGTCTTCGGACAAAACGCTGGCTCTATGGCTTGAAGAGCGGGATGAGCGCCGCCCCCTAGAGTCGGACACGACTGGACAAAAATTGTCAAGGGGAACCTTTACCTTTACCTTTACATAGTATGGTCCTTGGCTCCCTCTAGTGGCCAGTTCTGGTAATGAATGTGAAAATAATTTGTGATTTTTTTCCCCCTTATATACTCTGTTTCCCTAAAAATAAGACAGGGTCTTATATTAATTTTTTCTCCAACAATGCATTAGGGCTTATTTTCAGAGGATGTCTTATTTCTTTCATATACAGCAATCTACATTGATTCATATAGCGTCCTGTCATCATCTTCTGGTTGCTGCACAATGGTGGAGGCCGGGATTTCACTCAGCTGGGGCTTATTTTTGGGTTAGGGCTTATATCACGAGCATCCTGAAAAATCATTCTAGGGCTTATTTTCAGGTTAGGTCTTATTTTGGGGGAAATGGTATATATATAGTGTTATTATCCATGGTTTTTAATATCCACAGGGGGCCATGGAACCAATCCCCGTTGGATATGGGGATCCTACTGTATTCAGATGTGTATATCTTGGCTCCTGGGTCTTGGTCTGAAATGAAACATCACAACAAATACAGAGAATAGCTCTGATCAGAGAACACTCCACTGAGGATTTGGATGTTGAATTTGGGCTGACCCAGTCCTTTTTATGGAGTGCACAAATGTTGGGCAATATTGTTCTGACAGTGTGTTATAATTACTGGGCTAGATACAATGCTGTGCTTTGTTGTACAGTTCTCCATGATTTTGGGGTATATCTTTCAGAGTGTCCCAGACTCAAGTTTTACATAAACCAATTCCTTATCCTTGTTTCATACTTTGGATCTGATATGGGAAAATGATGGTTGAAAGTATCTTGGACCTGAGTCAAGGGCTGAGCTAGATGTAATGCTGAGGCATTTCAAGAAGCCACTTATCTGGAGAATTAGGTATATTATTTCAGAAGGGTTCAATATTCTTAGATACCCACCCACTATTTGTTTTGTAAGATATTGAATATCCGTGCAATGGGTTTGACAGGCTTGTGCCCATAGGAGATAAGAGCTGGCCACATGGCTGTAGCAACTTTCAGAAATTGTTTTTCCTGAGCACTGGGAATATGATTTGAGATGACTCAATTATGAGGTCAGTATATGTGTCGAACTCAAAACAATGTTGTGGTAACTCAGACGTGACACTATATTAGAACACGCTGGATCTTTATTTCCTTCGATTGTCCTGCTGTCCCTTTGCAAGTGCTACCTGAAGCAGGTTGCTTCACAGTATAGTAAGATATGGGGAACCCTGCATTCAACATAAATACACTGTACAGTAGTTGCAAACCAAACCATGTCTCTTTGCTTGTGGTAGGAGATGAGATGTAGAGGTGAGCAAAATGACGCATAGGGGAAGGGGGGTGTCAGTGCCCTCCTCATCCAAATTAATGGGAGAAGGAGGATGGAATGTGCCAGTTTATTGATTTGCATAAATTAAGGAGATTACAGAATGCAGTTTTTACTGACACACACTATGAATACTGAATAGATCTCCTCATGTTCACTCATGTCCTGCTTCTCTTTTTCTTTCTTTCTATCAGAGGCTGTCTCAAAAATGGCAGGTGATCAATCAGCGGAGTTTGCTTTGGTAAGTGGAATGACTTAAGAGACTGCCACTTGAAAAAAAAATATTGCTGTTTCCCCTTCTTCGCAGAAATGGCCTCTCCTGAATGGGGAAGGCCACAGCAGCAATACAGTGATCTTTTAAAAGAAAAGATATTCACCAAGCGCAGAAGTCAAAGGGTGTGGTGTTCGGCAACTGAGTAATGTAACCCTTTTCTGAGAAGAAAACTTACAAGAAAAATTTTTTCTCATCCTACATTCCATTGACAGAGATGGGCTTCAAGAAGCCACTTCAACTGACAGGCAGGTTAATCTGGGATTAAGCAGTCCTTTAGATATTTGAATCTAAGAGTTTAAACTTTAGGACTAGAGTTCTTGATTCTGAAACTACTACACAGAAGCTGGCAGAGTAGTTTCAGAATTGTGTGGAATCTGTTTCATCTGACTGATCAGAGTCCAGCAGTCTGGCAGCTGAAATTCATGTATAACAGACACATTGAAATAATTTAACCTGTATGCTAGAGGAACAATAACAACAACTAATTTCTTAAGTTTTTTTCCTGTTCTTACTTTAGATTTCTGTCCAAGAGGGACTGCAGCTGTCACCCAAATATAAGTTGGTGAAAATACTTTCTGTCATAGGTGTCACCTGGGAATCTAAAGTAAGAGCAGGATTCAGAAACTGAAGTTTCCCTGTTTAGATTGGGCTGAACCTGCTGACCCAGGTCAGATAAATTACCTGTAGCCAGCACTTCTGTCTTAGTGACGCGATGGTTCTTAGCATCGACTGTGTTCCTCTATGTTGCTTTTATAAGAGCTACCACCTTATTGTTCAGCAGTGATGATGACACAGCAGATGACAACCCAGAGTCCCAAGAGATGTTGGAAGAACAGCTGGTGAGGCTGCTAACCCGAGAAGTTATGGACCTAATTGGTGAGTGGAAACCAGTACGCTGCATGAAAAACTTAAAAGGCCTGTAGTACCCATGAGCAGAAGTGCCACTAGGATTAAGCTTATGCTATGGTTCATAGGCCCAAGTAATTGCTAGAAGTGTCATGCATCTTGACATTTGCCTTGGTTTTTGCATGTGAGCTACATAAACAACCCATCACCTTGCTCTGGTGATCTGAACCTTGCTTGGAACAATGATATTCTTCAAAACACATTTCTGCCCCTTAGCAAAAAAAAGGGGGGGAGGGAAGGAAAAAAAATGTCTGAATTAGTTTCTGTTCTCTCCTACACACAATACCCTATAGGCATTGTAAGGAGTAGTAAGCAGTATAGTCCTGTGGGCATGTGTGATGTCTCATAAAGTTTTTTCAGTGACTGTCTCATATCTTTCTTCTTCTGATGTAATTGCAGCTGTTTGCTGTGTTTCCAAGAAAGGTGCTGAGCAGAACAGTTCTGTCACTGGAGATGGCGATGGTGGGTATTGATAAATGAATTGCTATTTTTCTTCCATTCTTGAGACCCTCAACAGGAATTAATGAACCCTACACATGTACATAGATCATGGCTATCCCTAAACCAGGCACTAGAAAGCATCAAATTGATGTTGCTTTCCATATAAGGTGTGGAATACCTTTGGGATTTCAGAGCTTCCCACTTCAGTCATTTAGAATGTCCCAAGCAAAGGTATACACATTATAAACTCACACATATTTAGTAGTAAACCACACATACTTAATGGCAGGACAATTCTGACTTACAATGACCTTTTCCAGGGTTTTCTAGATAGAAAATACACAAAATTGGTTTATCATTCCCTTGTTCTGGGGGAGTGTCCTGGGGCTATGCATCTTGCCCATTACTACAGAGGATGGCTCTTCTCCCAGGAGGTACAGTGGAGGATCAAACTTCCAACCTATGGCTCCACAGCCAGATACTTAAACCACTGAATATCCAGTCAGCTCACACATACTTGGAGGGGGGGGGATTTAATGGTAAAATAATCAACTTGACACAGTAATGCAGGAATCCAGATCAACTGCTGTCTCTCTGAGATGCTTGCTTTGTTGCTGCCTCTTCTTGAATTAATATCCCAAAATACATACACAGTGGTTCCTTCCTCCATAAATTAGTTGCCCACTTTTTGAACCTTTGTGTAGTTTCCAAATATATGGGAACTGATTTTACTAAGAAAGACAGGCATTCATGCCTCCAGTCCTCTGTCCTGCTGTTATGACATGTGTGCTAATTGGAACATCTGCCTTCTGGCCAGTACCCGTCAACTAACTGACCATTTTGCCTTAAAAATGTGTTTACATTGCCATTTTACCTGGTAGATGAGGAGATGATGTCCACAGAGGTGACTCCACCATCCAGCTCTGAGCTCACTGAATTGGGCAAGTGTTTGATGAAGCAAGAGGTAAGTAAGCTGAATCAACGCCTTTATTTTAAAAGATGGATAACTTTAGCACAAGAAAGTTAACCTCCAAAGAATCAGAATTGGAAGGTTGAGTATATATTCTTAAAAGAGTGGAAATAAGTTCTTATGTTGCTACTGTGTAATGTAATCCTTTTTAGAAAAGAATTACATCTGAGGAGAAATTCAGCAGCCCACTCATACTGAGTTACTGTTCGGCATATAAGGCATGCATTTTTCCCATCTCATCCCCCCACATTACCAAAGGAAGGAATAGGGAAAGTTCACAGTAGGTTTAGGAGTGACCTGTGGAAGGGTCTTAAGATGCACCTGCTTCATAAAGTGCCAGACTCTAGAAATCTATATAATCCCTCTCTACTATTTCTGAAAAGCATATACAGTATATTGACCCAAAGTTATAAGAAAACTTTCTCTTTGTTGACTACCTTTTCATCATAGGGAATTGTTGTGCTCAAATGCCAGTTCCATGGCCAAATAGGGAGATCAGGGCTTTCTGATTCACTTCATATGTCATTCACAACAAGTTGCTCCACCGCCAGCAGCAAGTTAGTCTCATATGTCATATTTGTCCCCAGAATCAAGGAAAGTGCATTGTTTTCATCTCATTTCTCCATACAAATTCAGTTAATTCCAAATCATAAATCGACCCAATTGAAGAGTTTTATTTTTTCTGTGCAATATCAGTTTTAACTCTGAGCAAGGAATTCTTCTTACAACAAATTCTGTCTGAAAGTGCTGTGCAGTTTTACTGGATCCATTTAAGAGGGCTAGGGGACATTTTTAATCTGTGCTTATGGTTTCCTAAGCACCATGGTATAAGTGCTTCTGAACGCCTTTTCCTTCAAGAACAAATCTTGGAAAGACCCTGTGACAGGTCTTTCCTTTTTTTTTCTCCAGAATATCTGCTCTGCTCTCCTGATTACAGCCTTCACATCCCTCTCCTGGAAGGATACCTTGTCCTGCCAAAGAACAACCACACATCTCTGCTGGCCACTCCTCAAACAGGTATGTCCACTACAGAGACTAGCAGGGATCGAAAAGAGCAAACTGCAGCCCTTTAACGGCTGGGCTACTATTCACCCTACCCAGTGCAAGAAATGCTGTGAGTTGTAGCTCAACAACATCTGGAGGGCCACACTTTGCCCACTTATGTATTAAGGACCATGGTTCAGCAAATAAAAGGAAGGTTCCTGATGCAGATGAGGAAGAGGTAGGATGACCTTCATTCTCTGAATCTGCAACTTCTAGGATCTGAAATGTGAAGTCAGAATCACCTCTCTCCATACACATCTCCGATCAGTTCAAGGGCTAGTTCACTTATGAGTGTAAATTATCATCTCAATGTCTAAGCACCTGTAATTCCCACCCCAAAAGTAAATGTTTCATAACATGATCGTCATCCATATATCCCGATCAACAGATACCCAGAGAACCTGTTTACAAATAGCTGTCACAATTGCTTTGTGTTGGGGTGGGAAATGGTTAACTGATGAAAAACGAGTCAAGTTCTGGGATTTTCCCTTGTTTGGTGCTTCTCTGTGAATGGTATTGAGCACAAGAGGTTATCCTGTAAACCAGTGGTCCCCAACCTTTTTAACTCCGACGACCAGCTGGGGAAGGCAGGGCACCCCACACACGAAGGAGTGGGAGGGTGCTCATGCGGGGGCGCGTTCATGTGCATGCGCAAAGGGCAGTGTGGCACTTGTGCACATGTGCAAGGGGTGGGGGAGTGCTCATCTGGGAGCAGGTGTGTGTGCGCTTGCGCAAAGGGGCCGTGGAGGGGGCGAGTGGGGGTGAGGTCTGTCTCCACGGCACTTGTGCAAAGGGGCCGTGGAGGGGGCGAGTGGGGGTGAGGTCTGTCTCCACGGCCCGGTCGAGCTCAGGCCACGGACCAGCACTAGGCCGCACACCGGGGGTTGGGGACCTCTGCTGTAGACCATCTTGAGTGCTGCCATTGGTGTTGTCAACATTCAGGCTCCCCTTTCCTATATAAAGCTTGGTATCCTTTTTCCTGCTGGCAATGAGGACACAATGTTAATATTGGTCTGTTTCCCAGCATTCTGAATTGTGGATACAGAAGGACAATATCCCACATTCATACATTGGAGCTTTTTTTGAAGAATTGAATTTCCTGTCTTTTCAAAACAGAAGTTTTAAGTATACATACACTACATACAAATTCCAACAGAATTACCCAGTGCTACAAGATCGCAGAAGATGGTCACGTGATCTGTAATATGGTTGCTGAGAGGGGACAGAAACAAACGCTGCAGCCCCTCTGTGTCAAAACATTTTGAAGGGCTCTTTTGGACTTTATGAAATGGTGAAGCAAAAGTGTGAGTGGGTGCAACACATACAACAGAGGAACATACACCGTTTAACCTCTGAGGTAAACTAATGCTGCTCTGCCTGCTTTGGAGAATGTAGACTAGAAAGCTATACAGTAGGACCCCCGTATCTGTAGGATCAGTGATTGTTGATTCACTTACCCATGATCTGAAAATATAGGTATTAAAATATTACATGGAAAATAATAGAAATATAATACAGATGTTTGCAATATTATCAGAACTGGCTACTCACGACAGAGAACCAGATACTATGCTTATATAGGTTGGTTGCTGCCATTTCACCTAGTCTCCTGGCAGCTTCCTCTATGTTCCAGAGCAGCATTATTGTAAAACTCAGAGATGGATTGGCTGGCAGGGCAGGAGGAGGAGTGCTAAACTAAGCCAAACTGCCTCCTTGGAGAGGTTTCCTATTGCCGGCCCCTTCCTCAATACTTCTGGGCAAACAAGGAAATGCATTCTTAATTGTCTTCAAAGAAGAAAACACACAGAAACATTGAGATTATGTATGTGTGTGAGAGACAGCAAGAGAGATTGTTGTCTTCAGCATGACTTCAACTTTGTTTTTACTCAGAGGCCCCATCAAGATAAAAATTATAGGTGCAGGGAGTCCTGGATCCAACAGGCTATGACATATAGCATTTGCTATAATCCGTGTTTTCCAGTATTTTGAGGGAGGGCTTGGAGCCAATCCCCCACAGGCATAAGGGGTCCTACTGTATTCATATTTCCAAAAGCTTGCTCAACAAACATGTTGCCTGCGTTTTTCTGAAATAAAAGGGCTGGGAGTTAGCAGATTGTCACCTGAAACCAAGATCAAAATTCTATATTTTTCTACCCATTCTATATAAAAGACATTGAAGGAAGATTTGGGGGGGGGGTGTCAACTCATGTGAAATATGTTGGAAGTAAGCCTTAAAAATACCACAGATGACCAGAAAGGCAAATAAGTGCCTTTGGCCTCGTGGCGCAGTGGTTAAACCGCTGTACTGCAGCCAAAACTGTGGTCACGACCTGGGGCTCAATCCCAGGTAGCGGCTCAAGGTTGACTCAGCCTTCTATCCTTCCAAGGTCAGTAAAATGAGTACCCAGCTCGCTGGGGGGTGGCAATGTGTAGCCTGCATAATTAACTTGTAAACTGCCCAGAGAGTGCTTGAAGCGCTATGGGGCGGTATATAAGCAGCGCTTTTTGCTTTTTGCTTTAAATCAAATCACATCTGAATAAGCAAAAATATATGTAAATTGAGTTTCCTACCTTGCACATGTAATGAGAATACAGAAAAGACAATGTTGCTGGTAAAAGTGGTGGGTAGTAGGAAAAGAACAAGTTGAAATGCTGTTGGTTTGCAACATCTGAGCAGAACTGTCAAATGACAGGACATTTGGAAGGTCATTGACTCATATAGGTAACACATCAGAAGTGATTTGATGGCACATCTTTGGAGGGTTTTTTTTTTAAAAAATTACCAAGTTAATGTATAGTGACAAGATGGATAGCATGGAGACTATGATAGGAGGTTGTAACAGGAAACCTATGCCAGAGCTTTGCTGACATCAACACAGACTTTCCCCAGCCACAAAGCAAAAACAGTAATTTCACAGCTTAAGCAAGTTTCTGAATATTGATTCTGTATTCTTTAAAAAATATTTTAATATCTGTATTTTTAAAAAACCATTTAGTCTTTGTTTTGTGTCTGCATTTTTACAACTCGACACCGAATCCCCTTGCAAGCATGAATCCTATAAACCTGTTTGGCCAGGAAGATGTTAAAAAGCTAAAAACCTAGCTAAGAGTCAGTTAATTGGTTTCTGATTGAGAGAATCATAGAATAATGGAGTTCAAAGAGGCCTATAAAGCCATCAGGGATCAAAAGTACAGATTACCCTAGACATGGAGTTGATTTTTCCTTTGAAAACATATGTGAGGAGACTGTTCTCAGAAATCCAGGCATAATGTTTACTGAAAATGCTAGAACAAAACACAACTGATGCCTTTTTTCCTAGGTTAGGAGAAATATTTTGGATATGCGTTAGTTGTGGATGACTGTCACAGTTTCTTTCCTGAAATCATACTTGAGTCTTTTGACTCTGTTTCTGTGACCTTTAGTTGCCCTGCAGCTTTCCAGGGCAACTAAAGGTCTCAATCTCCATCTCCTGCCCAGAAATGTACACAGTGTATTATTTCGTAAAACTCTTGCTGTCAAGCCTGCACCATATATGATCAGTGTTTTAACAAAGCCTCTGTTTTATCTATTTGAAAGGCCTTTTTTGAGGATAAGTATTTTAGCGCCTGCAACCTGGATTTATTTCTAAATTTAGGAAAAGCAGGTGGAGCCAAAAATGTTTTTTTACAATAAAAAAGACTGGTATTTTGAATTTATATGATCTATTTTACAGCTGGGGTTGGTTGGGAGCATGTCATAAGACACCCCCCACTTTTCTAACCCAAAATTAAGAAATAAATATTTTAAACAGCAGACAGAACACATGTTTATTGAGTAATTAGGTAATAATTACATACCAGTACTGTCATATTATGCATCCCACTTTAACTTTGTTCAGCCTCTGGGCTCAGAATGCTCAAACATTAGGAGTCCCTGTTGCATCTGAGCACTGTTGCAATTGGTTTGTTCAGCATCAGCTGACATCAGTTACATAGCCTCCTAATTGGAGGCAGCCTGTTTGCAGAGGCAAAGTATGGGCCGTTTTGTTTTCTCCTCAGCTTGCTTCCATGTGTAAGACGACCCTCAATATTTAGTCCAACAATAAAAAATAGTGCCTTATACATGGAAAAATACAGTATTTCTGGCCAAGGGGTAAAATAGTTTTATATTTTAAAAAGTGTTACTCAAAACCCCTTTATCCAAATTTCCTCATATTTACCATAGAGCAAGAACAAACTGTCTGCTACACCTGTGCCAAATTTGGTGCTGACATGAAGCTTAGTTTCAAAGCTACAATTTTTTGTTTGGGCTGCTCCCATTTTTAGAATTGCCTTGTAGAATATTTGCTCTGCTGCACAATATCATAGCTGCACTCTTGTGCATCTATAATAATGGACTTGGAATGGGACATGAAGTCCACCCCTCCTTGCTCAATGCAGGGATCCAAGTTAAAAGTATATCTGACAGATGGCTTTCTAGATTTCTTTTCAATATATCTGGTGGTATGACTGAATTATGGATAGCATATTTCCTGGGAAGGTAGACAGAAATGTCTTTTTTTCCCCCTTGCAGGTGCTCACAAGGAATTTGATGATCGCTGAGGCGGTGACCTGGTTTTTTACAAGTGTATTGAAAGGACTCCAGGTGCATGGGCAACATGATGGCTGTATGGCAGCCCTTGTTCACTTGGCTTTCCAGATCTATGAAGCTTTGGTAAGGAGATATAGGGGAAGGTTTTTCGTTAACCTGGCTGTTTCTGAGGTTTAGCGGCACTTGAAGTGCACTGAGCTGATGCCTGTGCTCTTTTGGGGATGTTATGGGGACATTAATTTCCCCTTGGGAGGTAGCAGGGTTTATTTCTGGTATAACTCCCTGTGAATAATCTGTTTCTCTGCTTGCAGCGCCCACGCTATGCTGAGCTGAAGACAGTGATGGAACAAATTCCAGAAATCCAGAAAGAGTCCCTGGAGCAATTTGATTCCAAGCTGCTCAATGTAACACTGCAGAAAGTGACTGACAAGCGCCGGAAGGACCATTTTAAACGCCTAATTGCAGGCTGCATAGGGGTAGGTCATGGTATCAAGGGGGAGGGAAATAGTCATGTCTTCAGGAAAGATCAGGCAGTCTGGATAGCGGATCACTACTGGCTCAGGATCACAACTTATTCTTTCAGCTTGTTAGACCTGGCAACTGGTCACAGCCAGTCTTTGGCTTCTACAGACAGCAGCAACATTGAATTCCTGAAGAGAAGAGTTCTTGGGCTAAATCTCTGGTTATGTAACAAACAAGGACCTAGACATGGAGTAGTTATGGTTATGAGTAATCTGTCAAAAAAGGCCAGATTACTCAGAGACATGTTTGAACTTGCTTATGGGTTCAAATGTATTTTTGCAGAGAAAATGTGAAATGTGATAAAAATCCTCCTTCAGCTCATTCTCCAACTGGGAGGAGGTAACAAGTGGGGTACCCCAGGGCTCAGTCCTGGGCCCAGGGCTCTTCATTTTTATTAATGACCTGGATCAGAGGATGCAGGCAATGCTAATCTAATTTACAGATGACAAAGTTGGATGGAATAGCTAAATACCCTGGAAACAAAATTCAGAATGATTGAGCACTGGGCTGAAAACAACAGAATGAAATCCATAGAGATAAGCGCAAAGTACTGTACCTGGGCGAGGGGGGAACCAAACACACAGTTACAAAATGGGAGATACCTGGTTCGGCAATTCTACAAGAGAGAAGGATTTTGGAATCATTATAGATCACAAGCTGAATACAGTGGCACCTCGACTTATCAAAGTCTCCAATTGCAAATGTTTTGAGTTACGAACAGCTCCATTCGCAAAATGTTGTTTTGACTTGCGAACAGAGCCTTGACTTGCAAACAAAACAAAAAAACACCACCTTTCTGCCCTTTTTTAAAAACTTAAGTTCATCTTAGGTCAAAAGAAGAAAATAAATAAATTCTCCCCCTAGTGGTAGAGTATGGATTAACCAGCTGCATTAGTTCCTATGGGAACGATGCCTCAACATAAGAAAAAACAGCAGGTACGGATTAAATGGTTTTCAATGCATTGCTATGGAAAAGTTTGCCTAGACTTACAAACTTTTTGAAGAACGAACGCCGTTCCAATACAGATTAAGTTCACAAGTCGAGGTATCACTATAGGCCGAAGGTGTGATGTGGCTATTAAAAAGGCAAATGCTATTTTAGGCCGCATTAACAAAAGTATTCATCTAGTACTGCATTCTGGATACTGACAAACTGGAGCAAATTCAGAGGAGGGCAACAAATATGATCAGGGGACTGGAAACCAAGTCCTAACAGGAAGACGTAAAGAAGTGGGTATGTTTAGCCTTGAGAAAAGAAGACTGAGGGGAGATATGATAGCATTTTTCAAATACTTGAAAGGCTGCCATACAGACGAGGGGCAGGATCTCTTTTTAATCACCCCAGAGTGCAGGATACACAACAATGGGCTAAAGTTACAGGAAGACAGATTTCAGTTGAATATCAGGAAATACTTCCTAACTGTTAGAGCAGTACAGCAATGGAACCTTGGGAGGTGGTGAATGCTCCAACACTGGAGACTTTCAAGAGAAACTTGGAGATATCCTTTGATTTTTATTCTTGCATTGAACAGGGGGTTGAACTCTGGCCTTATAGGCCCCTTCCAGCTTCTTTATTCTATGATCTTTAGACCAAGGTTCAAATATGCACATTATTAATAGCATATGACAAAACCAAATCAGCTCTCTGGGTTACACCCATTGCCTAATTGTTCTTTGCTGTTCCATTTATTTGTTAAAAATACTTGCTTTTCTGCCCAGCAGTGCTTCCAAAGTGATGGATAGTAAAGTTGTTAGGAAAGATAGCATAGCTGTGGAAAGGCTTAGAGTATCTGGAACAGTCACTTAATTAGGCTTTATTCCATTGTGTCTATGTTGCTTGTGTTAACTCTTATATATACAAACCAAGGCAGTAAGGAACACCTCAAGGGGTTCCAACAGTTCCCGACTATCCCACAAGCAAGCAGCTGGGCTATGATCATAGCCTCTCTTGATACAGAAGGGATTCTTCAGTTTTATCTTCTGTTGGATTACCTGTCTCTGTGTTTTACCTTGTTCACATTTCTTGTTCTGCTCCTTTCCAGAAGCCCCTTGGAGAGCAATTCAGGAAGGAAGTCCATATCAGGAACCTCCCATCTCTCTTCAAGAAAGTGAAACCTTCCATAGAAACAGACATATTGGACAACAATGAAGATGGAGCCCTTATTGCACTGTTTGAGCCATAAGCCTAGGACACTTCTACACTCTTCTCCTTTTGTATTCTGTGTTCTTTCATTTGCTTACTCTCTACTTTCCCCTGAGCCTGGATACAGCTCCCATTGTCCTCTTTCTGCTTGGGGGATGGGGGCAGGGACTGGAAACAATCCAGCCACTAAACACAATCTGCCTGATTTTCCCAGCTCTACTTGCAATTTGATTGCACAATTGGTTTTCCATTGTGTCAAGCCTGGACATTCCACCTGAACCATCATTTGGCCAGTTATTCAGGAATTAGCCCTTCCATCTGCATTATGGTGTTTTCCCAGTGAAGGGAGCATGCTCATGGATCCCTGCTATGTCTGTCACAATCTGCACTGTGGCTGCCTCAATATGACACTAACAGAACACCCCTTCTGGAAAGGTTTAGCATTCCTGTAGTAACACAGGTCTGCACACAGAACACTGCACTATCATTTTAGACCCCACTGTTTTTGCAAATTCACCTCCTATTCCACCAAACCAAGCAGTGGTCAGGAACAAGGAAAATGCTTTTGTTGTTTGTTTGGTTCACCATGTCTCAGGAAGCCTAAAGAGAAATAACATGCCCTCATTTGCCTAAGAAATGTAATCAGAACAGGTATCCCAGCTCCAAATCTGGCTTCAGCTGCTGAAGCCTGAAAATTCTAGGTAACTGCATATAGGACTACGTTTCTGCTGGTCTGAGCTCTTGAAGACTAGGGAGAAATACAGCTGCAGAGTTCAGGATCATTTGCTGCAATATATAATGGCTCAATATGCATCCAAAGCTCGGTTTGAGAGTATCACAGGATATAAAACTGCAACACCTTGAAGGCTTAAACTGAAGGGGGACCCAGTCTGTCATGACTAGGAAGGTCTCCGCCTAACACCTATAGTAGTATGACTGGAGATGCGAAAGAATGTTTGGGCTTCAAGAATTAGAAGAGCTTAGTTTTAATAGCTTTGCAGTGCACAGAGTGGATGTCATGGCCAGGCAAGTTTGGAGAAAGCAGGCCACGATGTGATGTTCAAGTTTGTACAACTAGTCTGTTTCCCTTCTAGTCTTAATCTCAGTGTAACATTTATTAAAACATCATTGTCCAGTAGCTTTGGAGTTAGGCTAACTGTATTTATTGTATCTTGGTTATATTTTTAGTTTTCTGTGCACATAGAAACATTTCAATTAATTTTGAGGGTTTTGTAGGGATGTTGTATGTCTCCAAATCAGTTGTGATACACCACTGGATATCAGTAAAGACCTTTCAGTTTTATACATAAATGTTGTTGCTGTCTTGTTTTCGTTTGGTGTCAGTTATGTTGAGACCCAGGTCATACCATGCTAACATTCAGCAACTACTATTTTCTCAGTCAAACAAAATTAGAACAGTTATTGGATAGCTCCATGCAGCTACTTAATTGGATGAAGACTTCTTTAGTAGCTGAAGTTGCAAAATAGGGTTTTGAATGTCACTCGGAAGAAAATGAGTTTATGCTTTATACACTACAACAAACCCTTTGTGTGAGTCACGAGTAGGGTTGCCAGATACATGGGTACCAAAAGGAGGACATAGAAAGACAAAAAAAGAGAACAGTGGGGGACGTATTGAATGTTTCATTTGAATCGTTCTGGATTAAACCCACAATCAATACAATTTTATTACAACAGCTGCCAATAAATGTCTCTTAGTGAACTGACCAAGAAACATTCATGTTAAAAAATAAAAATAAATTCAATGGAGACTTTTTTTCAAAATACCAAAAAACATTTAAACAGACAATTGTACAATTACTACCTTATAATCTTTATTAATTACAGTGGTGCCTTGACTTACGAATGCCCTGACCTACGAACGTTTTGAATTACGAACAGCTCCGGATGCAGAATGTTGCTTTGAGTTACGAACCATGCTTTGACTTACAAACGGAAAAAAAAACCTTTCTTGCCCTTTTTTTGACCCAAGTTCATGTTAAGTCAAAAGAAAAAAAAGAAAAAAAAATTCTCCCCCTAGTGGTAGAGTACAGCTTTGCATTAGTTCCTATGGGAACTAATGCTTTGACTTACAAACCATGCCTTGACATAAGGACAAAAAACAGTCGGAACGGATTAATCGGTATTCAGTGCATTCCTATGGGAAATGCTGCTTTGACTTACACCCACCGTTCCAATACAGATTAAGTTCTTAAGTCAAGGCACCACTGTACACGACATATCCCGGCGCCTGCTGTTGTTGCTCCTTCACTTGTGCCAAGGCGAGCTCTGCAAGAAGGCTCCCCTTTCATTCCCGCCTCCTTTTGCTGCTGCTGCGGCGGCTGCCACCTCTTCCCCTCTCCCTCTTTCTCTGCTGGTGCCTGGCACGGAGTCCCGCTCTTGCTCTAGCTCCCCTTTCCTACCGCTTCACTTCTCCACCAGCCTTCCTCAATCTTTTCTAGCTGCCGCCACCGTCTCTCCTTTCTGGACTCCTGCTGCTC